TACCTTTGAAGGGTAGTGGCTGCTTCTTTGAACACAAGCTGAGGAATGGCAAGGGAGGAATGGCACAAGCTCTAGGTCGTCGAAGAGAAATGAGAAGCGAGAGGAATGAAGTGAAGGAAGCTAGGCATGCAGATAAGGAAGAAAAAATCGCCAAAAATTTTAATGCCAACAGACGGCTGGGTTGGCCGCTCGAGGACCAATGGGAGATTGACACGTGTCCCCATTAATGGCAGCGTCAGAGTTGAACAGACAGGAAGGTCAGATGAGGCGACGACCGAGAAAGTCAAGAGATAGTATGTTGAAGACAGGCATGTCAGCTAGCCCGGTCATCGACTGGTGAACCGAGGAGCAGGGAGAGGTAACCCCGGTCAGAATGGGTAATCCCAGTCACGCTTGCGCGGACGGAATTAAGGGACAATTGAGAGGGAGATTTATGATCTGGGATTGGGCCGGACGGACTTGGGCCGAACAAGGGTTGGGCCGAGGTAGTACGGCCCTGTCTTGGAAGATCTTGCCCGGTTAATGCAAGGCGTGGTTTGACCGAGCTACATGGCTTCTTGGTATCGAAGGCTATCAAATGGGTTGTCCGGCGCCAGGAAAGACAAGGTTGGACCGAGCTACATGTGTTTGCTCGGCAGTAAGGCTCACGGAAAACAAGCGTAGCTGTCCCGAGCTCGGCAATGCCGGGATATGCCCGAGCTCGGTCGAAGCGGGGCGCGACGCTCTGGCCAGCTATGCAACACGGCCATCTACAGCCGAGATGATGCAGCCCAGCTGTCGAGCTCCCAGTAGAGTGGGCTGGCAGTCAAGTTAGGTGATGTTCAGTAAGATTTGTGCTGACAATTGGGATAGTAGCACCACGTGTCGAGAGACGAATGGAAGTGGATTTGGCACGCAGAAGGTATATAAGTAAGTCTGCGCCCCCCATGCTGAGACAGATGAACATTTGGTGAGATTTACAGACCGAGCTACATGGCTTCTTGGTATCGAAGCCTGTCAAATGGGTTGTCCGGCGCCAGGAAAGACAAGGTTGGACCGAGCTACATGTGTTTGCTCGGCAGTAAGGCTCACGGCAAACAAGCGTAGCTGTCCCGAGCTCGGCAATGCCGGGATATGCCCGAGCTCGGTCGAAGCGGGGCGCGACGCTCTGGCCAGCTATACAACACGGCCATCTACAGCCGAGATGATGCAGCCCGGCTATCGAGCTCCCAGTAGAGTGGGCTGGCAGTCGAGTTAGGTGATGTTCAGTAAGATTTGTGCTGACAATTGGGATAGTAGCACCACGTGTCGAGAGACGAATGGAAGTGGATTTGGCGCGCGGAAGGTATATAAGTAAGTCTGCGCCCCCCATGCTGAGACAGATGAACATTTGGTGAGATTTACACTAAATACTCAATCCTCTCTCTCTCTATCCCTGTGTGTGTCTAACTTGATCGTCGGAGGGGTTTTCCGGCCACACACTGTCGGGTAGCTAACCGCCGTTGTGCACGCAGGTGATCGGATAGAATCGGAGCTCGGAAGCAAGGAGTGCGGGCTCGCCTAGATATTTGCTCCCCGCACAGTTATCAATTGTGAAGTATAGAAGTGTTTCTATATTATGTTGATACAGCACCAAAATGTGTATCGCTCGTATAGTATGGAAGTGGTTTATGTGTTATTGATACAGCATCAAAATGTGTATCCACCGTGAATTTCAAAAGTATTTTAAGATGAGTCTTATTCTCATCAAGTTATTTGGCTAAGTTTTGAGCCTTGTTTTCAAACTCAAAGTTGAAAAAGAAATAAGAAATGAAATTTAACATGGACTTAAATGTCATGAAACCGGGGTGTGATATAAGTGAGTGTATCGGTGTTGACCATCTATCAACTGCTAATCTTTTAGTCATTGTTCATAGCTGGTCTAGTCTATTTCTGCTAGGCTGTGGCTCACCCTTTATGGGACATCATTTTCAGGTACAGGTAGCATGCCACCTACAAGGACATAGCTTGGGAGGCTAGAGGCAGACAAACTCCTTTTGTTGTTTGCTTTCTTTTGATGTATTACATGTAAATTCAAGCCTAGGGCTTAATATGTATTGAGTTAGTACTCTTCTTTTTGTAACCAAGTGTTAACTTGGAAAGCTGTAAGCCCGTAGGGCATTTGCTTTTATTGTTAACATGTAACACTTTTGTAAGGACTTCTCTGATAAATGGAAAGATGGTTGATTTCTTTGTATCAATGCATGTCTAAAGAGATGAATTTTATGTATTTTTTTTTAGGGCGTTACACCAATGGTCCCAAACAGCTCAGAAATATTCGACACATAAGGGCCTTGTCGTCTGCATGAAGCGTCATGGCTTGCTTATAATGACGAATGTGATCAGTGGGGTCCGATTTTCCATTATATAAGGTGAGCGATGGAGCTTTGAACTTTTTGGGTAGCACTGCCCTTGCGATCCGTCGCACAGAGGGGTCATGTTGATCCTCTTCGTCTGAATCATTTCTTCTTTGCTTATTCCATGCACGCGGACTTCCTTCGGAAGAACTGGAGACTTCGACTCGTCCCTTCTTTTTGGATTCTGGGGATGATGAGTTAGAATCACTGCCACTATCATGTCTCCGAATTCGAGATCATCGACCATCCTTTCTCCAAGATCGTCCCGGATCTTGGTGCGCGGCCTGTTGGGGTTTTTCCACCTCTAAGGCCAAATCCTGTCGAAGGTGCTCATTCTCAGCCATCATGTTTTCCAACCTCTGTTCATTCTGCTTCGCTTGATCCATAATCGCTTGCATTGTCTCATGTGCTGATGTCGAGGGTGAGGTCTGGGCAACTGAGTCGAAGTTCAAGGCCCTTCGTGCGGCAATGTTCTCTAGCCTAAGCATGTTTCTTCGAGTGGTATCATCTCGTGGCATAAGGTCATCAGTGACTATCGGAAGATCTTCAGTCACGCCCGCCATGGATGTGCTGGAGTATTCCCACAGATAGCGCCAATTGTGGAGAAGTGGTTTGGAAATACTCTCTGGATCCTGTAGAACACTCTTGATCCTCAGTTAGTCACCTGAAAAAGAATGAACACTCCGCTCGGGGTGCCATAATTAGCACTCCGATGGATAAGTCAGTATATACTCTCTTGGTTGATTGTATCTCAAGTTAATCTTATTTGTTCTCACATACCTTTCTTTAGCTGATGCTCCTCTATTTATATTTTTCTTTTGGGCCTCAAGGTCGGGCCCACCCTTAATCCATTGCACGTTTATGTATTCGGCTTTTGTTCGACTCGTTCCACGGCGAATTAATATATTCGGCTAAAGGGATCGCCCAAGATGAAGCCGAATGCAAATTCCGTCCTTAACTGTCCGCATACCGTTATGCGGCTTTATTGCCCCCATAATATCCGGCTCCCACAAGGATCTTATGGATCACAAGATCAAAAATTAGGATTTATAGGTCAATCCCCCTTTAAAAAATTATACTTTCTTTTTTGAGATTTGTAATCTCATTATAAATTGCCTCCTCAATTGTTGATGTCATATCTTAAAATTTTGTAAATGACCATATTGCCCTTTTTTCTTACCATTTCTTCTTCCTATCATCATGACTACATTTTACAACTATCCATCATTAAATTATACCTGAACATATTCTTATTAAGTGATGATATACAAACATATATTTTATATAGAATTTTCAAAAACAATGATATAGCTTAATGGTGAATTTTCACTTTAAAACAAAACACCCATAAACATGATTTATATTTACAACAATATCACTATCACAACATTTTTATGATATTTTTTGTATAACTTTTTATATATGAATATAGTTTTTCAATTTTATTTTCACCATTATATCTAGATTAGATAAATTTAATTTACAAATATTTAAAAAGTATAAAATTTGTACAAAGAACTTTAAAAAAAAATCATTGAATACAACAAAATAAGATAATGTATTGAATTTTTGTATTTTTTGTATGTTTTTTTGTATTTGGTGAATTTAAAAAAAAAATCACAAAATATTATACTTATTAAGTATATCTAGATTAGGTGTATCTAAAAAATAAAAAATAAATAAAAAAATTGCTTAAAATATTAAAAAAAATCAATAAAAATAAAATAAAAAAATGTGAAAAAAAATTCAATTTTTTGTATGAGTTAAACCAAAAAAGATGATTGTTATTTCTCTTGAAATTGCATGAATAAAATATTTGTATTATTTTATTATTTTATATATATAAATATTAAGGGCCAAATTTGTTATTTTAATTTGAAGACTTTGGAAAATAACAAAATTGAAGACTTTGCAAAATAAAGTGACACGAAACACTCTTCAAGAATTATACTTGTAGTTATTATTATTATTTATTTTAAATTGAAAATTTTTAGAATAAAATTGAGAAAATTAAAATTCGAACTACAAAAATCACATAATAGAACATATATTTTAGGAACGTATTGTATTTTATTCTAAAATGATTAATTGCCTCATATTTTTCTTCTTCTTCTTCTTCTTCTTCTTCTTCTTCTTCTTAATTTTTTTTTCTTTTTGGCTAGATAATCCTTAACCTAGTAATCTAATTAATCTAGTAATTAGTGTCAATATTAGGCATGTGGTTCAACATTAAAGTTGCATTGAAAAGCCTGAGCCTATCTCAACTTGCCATTATGTTCTTGATTAAAGCAATATGTATTGACAATTAACAAAAGCCATCTATGGTATATCTTATTTGACGAACTTAAAACATAAAATTTATATTTAGGACATGCATGCCAAAGTCAGCAACTTGTGCAACCATGTCTTCATCTAGAAGGACATTGCTTGGCTTCAAATCACAATGAACCGCACGCTCTAATTGACCATAGTGGAGATATTCCATAGCTAATGCTTCATCAATCATGATGCCAATCCTTTCAAGGAGATTAAGGCAGGAGTCAAGAGAATATAGCCACATTTCAAGGCTTTCATTAGACATATATTGCAAAACCAATTCTCCTAACTCAGGTTAGAGCATGTTGTTTAAACTCCAACGAGATTTCTATGTCGAGTTGTTCGCAACACTTTACATTCTACATCAAAACTTCTGAAAGCTCCTTCAAGTTGCAAATTTAAAACCTTAACGGCAACAATTGTCCCATCTGAAAGTACACCTTTGTATACTGAGCCATAGCTTCCTACTCCAAGCAAGTTGGTTTTGCAGAAGTAATCTGTGTCTCGTAGAAGCTCTAGATATGAAATCATTTTGTGCTCCATTGTTACATATAAATCTAATAGATTTTGACTTTGGACATTGTTTCCATGATTTCTATTAACAATATGCACACCAATAGAAAAGATTAGCATCAATGCAATGACAGGAAGAATGTATCGAAGATTAATTTTAATCAACGACTTCTTGGAACTATTGCTTGCACATGGTGGCACTTTCAAAATAGGATTCCCACAAAGTGTTGGAATAATCTTCTGTGTAAATAAATAAATTGAAATAAATTCAAACAAAATAAATAAATAACATACCGGATTTATTTATCGAACCGAATTAATTAAGACCAAGTCGAGTGTGTGACACTCTGTCCTTAAGACAGATTCGCCCCGCTACGGTACTTACGGTTGAGTGGCGTCTATCTCCCAGGATACAATGATCTTCACAAATTGTAGTAGTACTCCAAACAATTTGTTCGGCGAACCAAACCTTGTGTTCTTACTCTCTGAATTTTTTTTCCTTAAACTAGAATGAAGATTAAAATGCAAAATAAAATCTGGACAACACAAAGGAACAAATAATATGAATAATAATACAAAAGTGCTGATTTTCGGATAAAAAATTTCATCCCAAAAACTGCTGGATTCAAGTAGTATATATAGGCAAAATTAATAGACCCGAATAAGCGCAATCTGAAAAAGAACCGGTGCACCACTATTTTTGTAAGAACCCACATTCCTCATCTTAATCATGTTCATGAGCATTTGTATGATTATGACTTGTTAAGCTTGCATGTGTATGTTATGACTTGATTTGCTTTAGCAAGTGAAATCTGTGCCTTGACTTGAAGCCTTGTGATTTGTCTAAGTATAGTGTACCTGTCTTCTTCCTTCCTTGATGTAAAAACTTAGGTCACGCCTTGCCTCTAGCCGATGTTATTCCAAGCCGAGGTCACCCTTAGTCTAGTAGTAGTATCTTGGAACCCCTTGTTGACCTCAGTCCTTGCCTCGACCACGTTAGCCGAGATGTTACCTTGCACCCCAGTGATCTCGTCCTGGAGCGGTATGACCTAGGCCGAGGTGTGGCGCATCTAGGCCAAGATGTGGCACAGCTTAGTCAAGTGTTGTCCTTCCTAGCCGAGGTCAT